AGACCCCGGGCCAGCCCTCCCGCCCTCACGCGGCCCGTGTGCAAAGCGAACCGGGCCGGCGACACGGATCTTCGCCCCGCCCCATCCAACCGCAAATTTTCCCATTGGTCGAGAGACCCGGCGCGGCACGGCAATAGGCGCCGATTGGACGGGTGCGCAAAGATGACGGCTTGCCATTGGGCCTCCGGGGTGTCAGTCCCGGCGGATGACCGGCCCCCTCTCGGAGGGGCAGAGGCCCCGGCACCTGCTCGACTCTCTGCGGCGGCGGCCTCAGGGTACGCGGGGCCGCCCCTTCCCAGCTGACTTACGAGAACATTCCCCCGACCATCCAGCCCCGAGCAGGGACTGGCATGGCTGGCGCCCAGTCCCGGGACTCCGGCCGCGTAGCCTCCATCACCACCCCCAGTTCACCAGTATCCTTCTCCAGCGCCTGCTACTCTGCGCGCTGGGCGCCGCGCCCTCCTGTCGACATCGAATTGTGTTCTTCACGCAAACCGCGAGGAAGAGTACTGCTGCGATCCCCATTTTACAGTTGCGAAACAGGCTCACAGAGGTTCTCACTTGCTTGAATGCAGTCGTCTGACTGGAGCCTGGGGACTCTCCCACCCTCACCGCCCCTGGGACCCCGCAGCGGGGCGGGGGTGGAGGTAGGGGCTGCATTATTTCCGAGGGCAGGAAGGGACCCCCTCGGTAAACCAGGGGCTCACCTCCCCAACCAGGCCTGGATGTACAGACCTCTTGGGCCTGTCCCACCCTGCAGGTCCCACAGGAGGCCGCCCTTCCTCACCTCCTCCTGGCATCCTCACATCCCACAAGCTCTCCGTCTGGGGAAGCGGAGTTGTGCGGTTATGGCCCCGTACTGCTGTCCCATTGTCTCCATCCTACCTGGAGTCAGAAAGGAACGTGGCTTCACTGCCTGTTGAGATTCGCATGGGTTGCATTTCCTTGCCAAGTTCAGAGCACCAGACGTGAGACACATGTGGGACCATGACCCTCTGCCAGCTCCGCTTAACCTTGCAGTGTGGGGAAACCAGCAGGGATGTTCATGCCCAGTTGTTTTTTTCAGGAGGTCCTAAGATGACTTCTTAGCCAGTGACCCTGGCTCATGCATGCTGTCAGCCTTTCCTGCCCTGGATGCATCTGAAGATGACCAGTCCTTGGCTCACTGCATTCCCCAAGGCCACCTGGGGAACCAAACTGCCCACAACCATGCTCATGGGTGGTGGAGGGGTGTGACCAGACACTCCTGTCTTACCCACCCATATTAGGAGTCCAGAGTGTACACCCAATCATTCCTTAGTCCAAACTAAGAAAATGAAACGGCCCAAGGCAAGAACTCACTGCTGGGACTACCGCTGGGTCCATCTGTGTCTGGCAGCATGGTGAATCAGTCCCAGCTGCCTTTCAGAGCCAGGCAGCTACTATCAATCAATCGGAGCTGGCACTTAATGTGCCAATTAGCCCCCTGGCATGGGGTTGTTGCTTGCTGCTCTGGGGGAGGGGGGGCAGAATGAACTATCTGTCCCTGGAACAGGGGCCCTCATAAGCCAGGTAGCTGTCATCCTGTGAAGCAGCACCGTGGTGACATTCTGGCTCAGGTGCTGTGTAGCTGAGGGATTGTTTCCTCCATTTAGGAGTAGATGTAATGAGTCCAGCTGTCCCCAGCCATCTCTTCAAGTACATTGGACCCTGGTCCTGCTACAGCCCCTCTTCTCACAGCCCTGCACCACCCCCTCCCCATACTTTCAAAAGGGATTGGACAGAGTGCAAAATAGAGAACCATACACCAAAATCTGTGCAAGTGAAACTCTCTCTCCTTCTCCCCTCATCTCCACCCTTACCACCCATAGAGTTGCAGAGACCTGTCCTCTCGGCAGGACAGAGGATGTGGGGGCAGCACCAGTTCAAACAGGACTCAGGACCACTGTCCAGCAGTTGGCCCATTAGGCTGCAGCCAGGGCTCAGAAACACAGCAAGGGAGGCTGGGCTCAGTGGCTTATGCCTGTAATCCTAGCACTTTAGGAGGCTGAAGGGGCAAATCAGGCTATGTTGTCCAGGCTGGTCAGGAGTTTGAGGCCAGCCTGGACAACATAGCAAAACCCTGTCTCTAATTAAAAAAAGAGAAAAAAAATACAAAAAAAAAAAAAAAAGGTAGCCTGGCATGGTGGTAGACACCTATAGTCCCAGCTACTTGGGAGACAGGAGATTGCTTGAACCTGGGAGGCAGAGGTTGCAGTGAGCCGAGATTGCACCACTGCACTCCAGCCTAGAAGATAGAGCAAGACTCCATCTCAAAAAAAAAAAGGCCAGCCGCGGTGGCTCACGCCAGTAATCACAGCACTTTGGGAGGCTGAGGGCTGATCACCTGTCAGGCGTTCAAGACCAGCCTGGCCAACATGGAGAAACCCCATCTCATGATTTTTTTTTAATTAAAAAAAAGAAAAGAAAAACACAGCAAGGGAGATCACAGGGACCAGTAGCCCAGTGTCCTCCCTCTCTCATCCTCTCACCCAGCTCCATAGGGACAGTTGTGGGACTCAACAGGGAAAGCCACAGAGAGAAAATGCTTTCAGCTGGGTGTCAGGAAGAACTTTTCAACAGTTGGAGCTGTTGAAACCAAAAGAGTGACCACAGGAGGTAGTGAGCTTCCTATCTGAGTTTGTGTGCAATTAGAGGTTGGATGCCAATGAGCCCCTTGCAGCCCCAAGATCCTAGGGCTTAGGTGCCCACCCCAGACCCATGTCATCTGCTGTCACCTGCTCCCTGGCATCCCATGTCATCCAGACTGGAGTGTCAGTGGTGACAGAGAACATCAGAGTATCTGGTCTGGAAAAGTATGCCTGGGGGTGGGGCTAGCCCATGGCCATAAGCTATGACAGAACAGGATGTGAACCACCATCTGACATGTTACTGCATCCCCCTTTGTGGGCAAAGGGAAACCTTGGTTGTTGGGAGTAGATGCTTGGGGCCACAAAGAAAAATTAGCACTGATTTTTCAGCAATGCAATTTTTACTTCCTTGAATGCGGGAAGGGTACCCTCACTAGCCATCTTGCCATGAGAGTACAAAGAACAAAGGAAAACAGACACATTTATCCCTTATGCATTTGGGGTCATCCTTACTGCTGTGTCTGATCTCCATTGGCTGGAGCCAGACCTCACAATCTAAACTAAAACCCGATTGGCTAACAACTTAAAACTATTCTAAACAGGTAAAAGCAATGGAGAGCTGGGACATGCCTGTGAACACGTCCTGCACAAATATCTTGGTTAAAGTATAAGGACATAGAAGGTACTATGTGTCTGTAAGCATGGGGTGCTTTGAGATGCATGGCCTGGTGTTTTTGGGCAGCCCACTCTGAAGCTGCCACCATGAACCCCCAGGCCCCAGATCCTACTTGGCTACCACCACCACTTCTTGGCCCTGTAGATTGCATAGGTCTGGCTGCTCAGAGAGAAATCAATGGTAGCAGCCCTGCACAATCCCACTGCTTAACGGTGGGAGAAACAACTGTGTCTGGCTGGGTCTGCGGACTACTGGCTGCGAGTCCCTGGGCATCTGCAGTCTTTGGTTTCCTCACCTTGTAAAGGGTTCTATTGGGTTCCAGGAGAAACACAGATGAGATGGCAAAAGTGTGGAGCACAACGGGTCTGCATGTAGTTGACGTTAGACTCTTGCCTTTGCTGATTACCAGCCAGGCTCTTCCCATCCCTGAGCCCCAGTCTTCTGCAGGGCATCAAGGCACCTAGGTCTTCAACACAGGTTGAAGCTAATCTGGCTGCTGCTGCTTGCCACCTTTCTTGACTTCGACTGAATGACATAACTGCTCGTACTCTCAGTGTTTACATCTATAAAGTGGGGTTAAAGAACTGCTGATCCAGACACTGGGTTTAGAGTGCTTCCCACATTATCATTATCCTTAATGTCCTTGTCATCCATGTCATAGTTTTTTGAGTGCTCACTTTGGGGCAGGGCCTGAGCCTCTGGGCTTTGACTCTCCAGCTTTCTACCATATAAGCCTAGCCACAGCCCAGAGGCCACTAGAGCAGGGGTCCCAGCTAATGCCTCTGTCCTGTTGGGAGAGCCCCAGTTGGTGCCCACTTGCTCACCCTGCACAAATCAAGCTGGGACAGCCCCTTGTCCCTGGGGCCTGGACCTGGATGTGAACTCAAAGGCTACAGTGCGGGGTGGGGTGGAAGTGGGGAGGTGGTAGGTGTGCAGGGTGTAGTGCTCAAATGCCTAGTCCAGGGTCTGGGTTCCAAACTGGGAATGGCAGGGGCATCAAAGGGAAAAGAGCCGACCTAGAGTCCATAAAGTGAAGGAAAGGATGGCCAGGAGGAGGATGGCCAGGTCCAGAGGTCGGGGTTGGATGGACAGGATGGGGAGACCAGGACGCAGTCTGAAGCGGGGATGGGAGCTGGTCCGGAAGCGAGCATTCCTGTAGCTCTTCAGAGAGCCCACAGGATGGGCAGGTGACAGATGGTGTCCACGAGGGCATGGACTCGGGGGCGCCTGCCACCTCCAAGGGCGTCCCGGCTGGCAGGGAGCCGCGTAGTCCCCAAAGGCCACGAGGTCAGAAAGCACTCAGACGCCCGCGCATCCCTAAGCTTTGGCGCAGCCCCGGGGGCGGAGCGCCAGGAGTCTGCAGCCTCCGAGCGACAGCGCGCCCGTCTAACGGGATCCCGGCATGCGGCGCGCCGCCCCGCCCCTCGCCTCACGGCCCAATGGTGAGCGCGCCGGCTGCAGGCAGGGCGGGGACTGGGCTGGCGGCGGTGGCGCGCGGGCGCGGCACCCGGAAGTCGGCGGCGGCGGAGGCGGTGAGTGCGCGGCTGGCTGCCGGGGCTGGCGGACTCCGCTCCTGGCCGGACCAGCCTGGGCTCAGGGGCACCGGGCTCCGGGCTCTGGGTGCGCAGACGGGGCCAGGCTGCTTGAGGGTGGGTGGGTTCGCCGCACCTCCTCGCCCAGCCTCAGTTTCCCCTCTCTGAGGTATGGAATAGAGTCCAGCCGGCTGGGTCAGGGGCGACCACGTCGATCCCGGCCGACGAAAATGTCCCGCGCGTTACTAGAAGGCGTTTTTAATAATCCCCGCTGGCATGGGGTGCGAGGAACTCTGGCAGATTGGACCAGACTCGCTACGGGGAGGCTGAGACTGGCAGGGCTGGGGAGCTGCGTGGTACCTGCAGAGTGGGTGGGCTGCGGCCTTGGCCAGCATCAGGGACAGCTCTGGCGCCCTGAGACACGCTGTCCCCTACCTGCGGCCTGCTGCAGGCCATCAGGGTAACAGCTAATGTGGGTGTAAGTAGATAGCAAGTGCTGGGTCATCCCTGTGCCTTGATGCGGCCTTCCTGGGGAGGATTGGGTAGTTGGATCCCCCCACCCCCACCTCCAGAGCATCAACAGTAGGGGGTGGCAGGGCTTCACTCAGGCCCCTCCTTGCCCCACTGCTGGGCTTTGCAGTAGCCTGGGCTTTGCCCGTTTTTCTCTAGGGAATTGGGCACAGAGGGCTGTTTGTTGAGACCCTCCACCTTCCCTTCCCCCAGCACCTCTTCTTTGCTCCCTTGGGTTCCTGCTGGGCCACAAGCTTTAGAGTGAACCATCTGCCCTTGGACAAGTCCCTGGGCCTCAGGCCCCCTTCCTCTTCAGGAATGTCACATGCCCTGCACTGGCCAGGCCTGTCTGCACTGACCAGGCCTCTCGTGTGGCTCCAGACCTGTTGACCACTGTTTTGTTGCCACTCTGGGCGCAGAGCCCTTCCATGAGGCAGATGTGATGGCAGCTTAAGGGGTAGCTGAGTAAGTAGCTCTTTGGAAAGCTTTCGCACACTAGCTCATTTGCCTTTGGGCAGCATTTTGGAGCAAGCATTCATTGATCCAATCCTGCTCACACAAGGAAAACTCAGACTAAGGGGGTAGATGGTGTTCCCAAGGTCATTCAGAGCCAGGGCCAGCTCCTAGTGCCTCTGCTACTCCTGGGCCACTCTCCTAGGAGTCTTCCTGCATCAGTGTCCTGTTGGGTGGGCTGGGGGCAGCTGGAGAGGGTGACTGTGTTGTCAGATGGACGTGGCAGAGCCTCTTTTCCTCCCCCCAGGATCCTAGTGCTCTGGTGGTGCAGGGTGGGGTGCCCTGGTGCCCACACAGCTTGTGTTACTTGCGTGTCCTCAGACTGCAGGCTCCTCAGACCAAGCCCCTGCCTGCTGTGATGTGTGGTGGCCGTAGCCCTTCCCTGAGCTAAGATAACCAGCTGTCAGGTCTGCCTGGGCTGCCCAGCCCGTTGTGCTTCCTTGGTGTCTTCACTTGTGGTCTGTTATTCTGATTACGTTTTGCAGTGTATGTAATCATGCGCAGTGTCCTGGGAACTTGATCCTGTGCCCGGCTTCTGCACTTGACAGTGAACTTGGAGGGTATCCTGGTGCCCACCCAAGAGTGTTTCTTCTGTAAACACCCATGGAGAGATAAGGGGCTTCTCAGGGACCCCAGAAGGGGTCTGGAGAGAAACGGCCAGGACAGGGAGGCTGGGAAGACTTATCGAAGTAGGGCCATGCTTATCACTGACACTCCAGATGCGTGAGGAACAGGGCCCATCCTTTGGTGATGTGGCAGTCAGTACATGGCAGCAGCAGCATGGCAGAGCCTGGCCTTTGTTGGCCCCTACCAAAGGGTTTGGTCTATGGTGAAAACAAGCCTATCCCGACCATAAGGATAGGCTCCCTGAGAAAACAGGGTCAACCCAGAAGGACTGAGCCGCCTTTTGAGGTTATCACGGCAGCTTTTCCCCTTTTTCTCTTACCTTCGTTTTTAGATTGCAAAAATCGTTTATGCATGCTTAAAAATTAAAAAAGGCCCACCTCCATCTTTGTCCTTGCTGACATTTGGGGGTACCTCCGTCAAAGTCTTCAGTGCCATATTTACTTGAAGTGCTTGTCTTCACCCTCTTTTCGGGCATGGTAGGAGTGCCCCTTTTTTTACTAACCACTCAGGCCGCAGGGACTGCTTCGAGACTGGCCTGTCCCTGGCTTGTGGAGAAGCTGAGTGTTCCTGCCAGGAGGGCCTGAGGGTGGGGCCACCCTGTGTCCAGAGCTTTCTGTCTGTTTGCGATGCCTCTTGTTTGTGCTGCTCCTTGGAACAGGGAAGAGATAGTGATCCTCTGGTGTGAGGCTGAAGTAGTGCCCCGGAAGCAGTGTGAAGTTCTGAGGACAGAGTACCACTGTAGAAAATGTGTCAGATAAAATGCATTTAGGCCGGGCGCAGTGGCTCACACCGGTAATCCCAGCACTTTGGGAGGCCAAGGCGGGTGGATCACCTGAGGTCAGGGGTTCAAGACCAGCCTGGCCAACATGGTGAAACCCGGTCTCTACTAAAAAAAATACGGTAATTAGCTGAGCGTGGTGGTGGGTGCCTGTAATGCCAACTACTTGGGAAGTTGAGGCAGGAGAATCGCTTGAACCAGGGAGGTGGAGGTTGCGTTGAGCCGAGATTGCGCTACTGCACTCTAGCCTGGGCAACAAGAGCAAAACTCCATCTCAAAAAAAAAAGTGCCATTTAATAGCCAAACAGAGAGTGTAGATTGGTGAGCTCTTGCTGCGGAGATGGGAGGAGAGCAGGGCATTGCAGTGGACTGGCCACTCAGAGGGTTTCCCGACGTTCGGGCTTTCTCCGCCAAGGCTCCGGGAACAGCGACACTGTGTTCCCATGTGTGTTTACCTCCTCTTCTGGCAGCTACTTGGAGCCTGTGTCACATGTCTGTGTCTGCCTTGTCCTTTGAAAAGAGCAGCTCAAGCTTTTGAGCTCCGCCCCGGGGGCTGCCACAGCTGATAGGGTGGGGATTAACAAGGGCTGGGGATTGGGCTTCCAGCTGCTCAGCCCTGCTCACCAGCTCTTGTGGCCACTGAGGCCATTAAATGGGGGCAGCAGACTGTAGGACTCGGTCGTCCTCTGTTCAGAGACTCACCACGTGGAGCCCTGATAGGAGACTGACTTGACAGCCACCCTCCCAAGTGTCCAGGTCCCCTTGGCCCTGTGGTACAAATACCTTGCCGTTCCGTTGTGTGCACCCCTGCCTGTCACCATTGCTTTCTGCTCCTCACACCTCCCCTCTGCCCACATGCTATTTTTGCTTTTTCAGTTGGTGGAAGTGCTTCCACCCAGAGTGTGTGTCCCATCACCTGTGGCCCCCAGGGTCTCCAGATGTGGCATTGCTGTGATACGCAGCTGCACCCCATCCTGTGCGGAGCTGTCTTGCACTGGGGCTGATTGGGTCTTATCTCGCTTTCCGTAAACAAGTGACTCTTGGGTTCTTTCCTTTGCTTCCCTCACTTCCCCACCCACGGAAATGTCCCAGCCCCAGTAGGGAAGGAGGGCAGGATCTGTGCACTTTCTTTTATTTTTCTTTCTTTCTTTTTTTTTTTTTTTGAGACAGAGTTTCGCTCGTTACCCAGGCTGGAGTGCAATGGCGCGATCTCGGCTCACCGCAACCTCCGCCTCCTGGGTTCAGGCCATTCTCCTGCCTCAGCCTCCTGAGTAGCTGGGATTACAGGCACGCGCCACCACGCCCAGCTAATTTTTTGTATTTTTAGTAGAGACGGGGTTTCACCATGTTGACCAGGATGGTCTTGATCTCTTGACCTCGTGATCCACCCGCCTCGGCCTCCCAAAGTGCTGGGATTACAGGTGTGAGCCACCGTGCCCGACCCTTTCTTTTTTTTTTTGCGACGGAGTTTCACTCTTGTTACCCAGGCTGGAGTGTAATGGCGCGATCTTGGCTCACTGCAACCTCCGCCTCCTGGGTTCAGGCAATTCTCCTGCCTCAGCCTCCCAAGTAGCTGGGACTACCGGCACGCGCCATCATGCCCAGCTAATTTTTTGTATTTTTAGTAGAGACGGGGTTTCACCATGTTGACCAGGATGGTCTCAATCTCTTGACCTCGTGATCCACCCGCCTCGGCCTCCCAAAGTGTTGGGATTACAGGCTTGAGCCACCGCACCCAGCTCTTGTATTTTTCTTTTTGAGACGGAGTCTTGCTTTATTGCCTCACAAGGCTGAGGCGGGAGAATCAATTGAACCTGGGATTACAGGCATGAGCTATCGTGCCCGGCCAAGTTTTGGACTTTTACTAAATTTGTTACTAAATAGTTTTTCCTTTCCTTTTTTTTTTTTAAAGGAGTTTCACTCTTACTGTCCAGGCTGGAGTACAGTGGCATGATCTCAGCTTACTGCAAACTCTGCCTCCGGAGTTTAAGCGATTCTACTGCCTCATCCTCCTGAGCAGCTGGGATTACAAGCATGTGTCACCATACCTAGTTAATTTTTGTATTCTTAGTAGAGATGAGGTTTCACCACATTGGCCAGGCTAGTCTCAAACTCCTGACCTCAGGTGATCTGCCCTCCTCAGCCTCCCAAAATGCTGGGATTACAGTGCTGAGCCACCGCAGACAGCCAAATACTTTATTCTTTTTAGTACTATTTTAAGTGGAGTTGTTTCTTAATTTCATTTTGCAATGTTCATTGTGTTCTTTTTTTTTTTTTTTGAGAGGGACTTTTACTCTTGTTGCCCAGGCTATGGTGCAGTGTTGTGTTCCCAGCTCACTGCAACCTCTGCCTCCCGGGTTCAAGCAATTCTCCTGCCTCAGCCTCTTGAGTAGCTGGGATTACAGGCATGTACCACCACACCCCGCTAATTTTTATATTTTTATTACAGACGAGGTTTTGCTACGTTGGCCAGGCTGGTCTTGAACTCCTGACCTCAAGTGATCTGCCCACCTTGGCCTCCCAAAGTGTTGGGATTACTGTCGTGAACCACCATGCCTGGCCAGTGCACTTTCTTTTGAGGGTGGACCTTACTGTTCCCCGCCAGGAAGCATGCCTGCTAAGTGCGCACACTCAGTGTCTGGCGTGACGGATTGTACAAAGTGAACCCAGCCACACAGCTACCACCCGTATCACACGTGAAACTACCACCAGGACTCAGACATCTCCCTCGTGTTCCCTAGTGGCCTCCTAGACCAGCTGGCCCTCCCCTGCCATCTCTGTCCTCTGCATGAAAAACCAAGCAGAGTGCTGTCTTCTGCCTGGGACCTCCCCACTGCCTCGGGAATGGGGGCTTGTTCCTGTTCATCACCATGGAAGGGGCACAGGCTGGACTTTTCTTGCTGTGTCACTTGGGTACCTGCAGAGTGCCTGGCATAGTGAGCAGGGGTTGGGGCATGGCGTGATCCAGGTAGGGTTCAGAAGGTTCTTTGAATAGCCAAGAGGGAGACTTGCCCTTGACACCCGAGAATGCATTGAAACCAGGGTGACTACTGCAGCATCAGAGGCCTGGTGATACATGCAGGACCTCGAGGGGCTCCTGTGACTAGGAGTCCAGCGTGTGGCCGAGGTGGGCCAGACTGGATGGCCAGCAGCCGCCTGGGGATGATTGGTGGTACGTTTGGGAAGCATGGGTCGTCCTCACCTCACAGCATTCACGCAGGCAGACAGTGTGTCCAAGATCTTCACCACTCTTGACAACCATGCAAGGTAGTCAAGAAGAAGGGGTTCTCATTTTGGGACAGGGAGGGCCTTCTTTAGCAAGACGGGGGACATGACCACTGTACAGCCACAATGGGAAAATCCCATGTAATACGAGACTGTTTTGCTAGTCAGCATCAAAGGCAGAGCTGAAAGGCAGGGACAGGCACATGGCTGCCTGCATCACACCAGCCACACTAAGGGTCAGTGAGACAAAGGCCTAGCAGTCAGTACCCACATTGGTGAATTGTAGGCAGGAACATACAAACAGTCAAAAGTCACAAGATGCCCAGCCAGTGGGGGATGCCCATAAAATCCTAGTGGGAGCATTTCCTGCACCACACACATCCTGGAGGTGGGGGAGTGGTGTCACATTCTGGTGTTACATGTTAGCAGGAACTTGGCCAGGTCTGCTTGTCTAAAAGCGTCACCCTTGGATGGAGCAGTAATTCTGCCTCCTGGGTCTATCCTTGGAAGGTCCTCAGCTGTAAAGACACTGGGTTATTTGTAAAGAAAGGTTGAATTGGCTCACGGTTGTGCAGCTTACAATCGTGGCAGAAAGCAGAGTGGGACAGCACTTCACATGGCCAGAGCAGGAGGAAGAGAGAGATGGGGGAGGGGCCGCACACTTAACCAGATCTGTAAGAACTCTCACTGCACGGTAACAAGGCGGGATGGTGCTAAACCTTCACGAGAATTCTGCCCCTGTCATCCAGTCACTTCCCACCAGGCCCCACCTCTAACACTGGGAATTAAAATGCAACACGAGATTTGGTGGGGACACACGTCTAAACCATATCAGTGCGTGTGCAGAGCATGTGCTAGGGATGGTCACTTGATGGGACTAAAACACCAGCCAGAGCTGAGAGGCAGAGCAGCAGGAAAGCTGGACAGGGATGAGCCACGGGATATGGCTCTGGTGTAGACAGACCTATGTGGCCCGTCAGGGAGAACGGAGCCATGGGACCCTGGTGTGTTAACCCAACAGCATACATGCGCATGCTCACATGTCTGTGTAGGCAGGCTAAGAACACTCTGGCACCACAGGCAACCCTTGGCTAAGGCTTTTTTTTTCTGTTTCTTGAGACATGAAGTCTTGCTTTGTCACCCAGGCTGAGGTGCAGTGGTGCAGTCATAGCTCACTGCAACCTCAAACTCCGGGGCTCAAGTGATCCTCCTGCCTTAGCCTTCCAGTAGCTAGGACTACAGATGCATGTCACCATGCTTGGCTAATTTTTATTATTATTTTATTTTACTTTGCTTTTTTGAAACAGAGTCTCATGCTGTCACCCAGGCTGGAGTGCAGTGGCACAATCTCTGCTCACTACAACCTCCACCTCCTGGGTTTAAGCGATCCTCCTCCCTCAGCCTCCGGGGTAGCTGGGGTTACAGACCTGCGCTACCACACCCGGCTAATTTTTGTATTTTTAGCAGAGGCTGGTCTTGAATTCCTGATCTCAAATGATCCACTCGCCTCAGCCTCCCAAAGCGCTGGGATTACAGCCATAAGCCACCACACCCAGCCTTATTTGATTATATTATTGATGTTATATTGAGACAGGGTCTCTCTCTGCTGCCCAAGCTGGAGTGCAGTGACATGATCATAATTCACTGCAGTCTTGACTTTCCAGGCTCAAGCTGTCCTCCCACCTCAGCTCCCAAGTAGGTGGGACCACAGGTACATGCCACTGCCCCTGGCTAATTGTTTTTATTTGCTTTTTGTAGATACAGGGACTTGCTGTGTCCCAGGCTGGCCTTAAACTCCTGACCTCAAACCGTCCTCCCTCCTGCCTCAGCCTTCCAAAGTGCTGGGATGACAGGTGTTGAGTCCTGCCTGGATGGGGCCTTAGCCTGTCAAATGTCATTGGAAATGTTTCCCACCAGAGTGTGCTCCTGGGTGACCTGGCCGATGGGATTAACTATGGGCCTCACCAGCCTCCAGAGCTGCCAGTTGTGGCAGCAGGAGACAGCCTTGGGCTGGGGCACAGAGAGGCTGAATAGAGTGGGTGGATGAGCAGGCAGCATGCGAGAGGGATCAGTGTTTCTTGGTGTGATACAAACACTAGAGGAGGTGGTGCTGGTTGGTGTGGGGTGGGCCACTGGCACGATCAGGTTCCTGATGCTTGGTGGCCTCCTTGGAAGGGGAGCTAGCAGCAGTGGGGTCTGGAACATACAGGAGGGTGGCCTGGATTTTCCCTGCAACACTGAGGCCTGCCTGTTCCCCACTGGGTCCTCCATTTGAGGCCCTGTCAGCATGGCCCTTGTCCCCCTTGCTGCTTCACCCCGTGAGCCTCTGCAAGGTCACTGCCACCCTCCACCCCACCCAACTGCCTGTGTGGTGGGTGCTGAGGGCCAGGGAAGCAGATCCTTGCTGCCAGGTAGCAGGCCCCGTGCACATCCATCAGGGTGCCAGACCTTGTCCCCATGCGGCCCTGGCCGGGGTCACTGCTGCTGCTGCTGCTCTCTGCCTATGGCTCTGGCCCATCTTTGGCTAGGCCTTCTGTCTGTGCAGTTTTCTTGTTGTGCCTTTTTTAGATACCGCATGGAGTGAGATTTGGGGTTTGCCTCTTCTTAGAGAGGGAGTTTAGCCCATTTCCACTTGGCTCTTAGGACAGAGGCCCTGTTGGTTCCTCTCAGAAGCCAGGGGAGGAGCCCTAGGCTGGAGAGGGGATTCCAGAGGGTGGTGGAGCTCAGAAGCAGAAGGTGGGCAGAGAAGATGGTGCATGCCGGGAGAGTTCTCGAAAGCATCATCAGCAGATGGGCCCGGAGTGCCTGGAATGCTTTTGTCCTTCACAGACGGCGCCGTGTACTAAGAATAACCCATGCCAAGTCCAGGCTTTCTTCCCGTTTTGTGGAGTTACCAGGTTATTAGACTAGGGAACGTATGCTGGGATTCTGGGAAGACTTCCACCCGCACTGGTATTCTTAGAGGATGGGAAGCCTTGGCTGCAGTGTGAAAAGGGCTCTTTCTTTCCACTCATACCTCACAGACCCTCTAGCCAGGCTCGGGGTGCCGAGGGACTCCAGGAATGTGGGGGGATTTACTCCCCCGGAGAGGCCTGTGCTCTGTCCCTGCGGAGGCTGGCAGCATTTGCAGTCACACAGTGAGCTCATGGTGACTGTCCCCCTCTTACCTCCCTGGCAGCGTTAGCAAAGGCCACGCCAGGTCCCAAGTGGCTTATTCCCAGGCCTCCCTGCACAGAGGCTGTGCATGTCCACTGGGCATTCACTCTAGCTGGCTGGGCGGCAGGGAGGCAGGATGCCTGGCCCGACTAGAGGTGGCATTCTACTGGGAGTGGGAAGTGTTAGGCATCTTCTTTCATCACGTCTGTGTGAGAGGAGCTGGACTTTCCTCGGATACGGACGAGCCTCATGGCATGTATCCTTTCATCCCTTGCATGTCCACTGGGTCCTCATATGCTCCGGGAGTCAGTGGTGCAGGCTGGCTGCTCTCGTGACCAGAACACCAGCACCTCACAGTCCGGTCCATGTCCCTCAGGGTGCACCAGGGCTCTTGTAAACAGAGAGTTCCCATGTAAGCAGTTGCTTTTTTTTTTTTTTTTTTTTGGAGAGTTTTGCTCTTGTTGCCCAGGCTGGAGTACAGTGGCCCAATCTCCACTCACTGCAACCTCCACCTCCTGGGTTCAAGCGATTCTCTTGCCTCAGCCTCCCCAATAGCTAGGATCACAGGTGTGCATCACCACGCCTGGCTAATTTTTGTATTTTTAGTAGAGATGGGGTTTCATCATGTTGGCCAGCTGGCCTCAAACTCCTGACCTCAGGTGATCCACTTGCCTTGGCTTCCCAAAGTGCTGGGATTACAGGTGTGAGCTACTGCGCCTGGCCAGCACTTGCTGTAAAAATTTTTTAAAGGATGTCACTTATACTAACCAGTCATAAGACTTCCTGAGGCAGGAGAAGACCTTTAGCCCACTGGTTTAAGAACAGCCTGGGCAACATAGTGAGACCCCAGCTCTACCAAAAAATTTAAAAATTAGGGCCAGGTGCAGTGGCTTACACCTGTAATCCCAGTACTTTGGGAGGTCCAGCTGGGTGAATCATGAGGTCAGGCGATCAAGACCATCCTGGCCAACTGGTGAAACCCTGTCTCTACTAAAAATACAAAAATTAGCTGGGCATGGTGGCATGTGCCTGTAGTCCCAGCTACTCAGGAGGCTGAGGCGAGAGAATCACTTGAACCCAAAAGGCAGAGGCACCACTACACTCCAGCCTGCATGACAGAGTGAGACTTCATCTCAAAAAGAAGAAAAGGGAAAAAAGTTAGCTGAGCGTGCTGGTATGCACCTGTGATCTTAGCTACTTGGGAGGCTGACTTGGGAGGATGGCTTGAGCCCAGGAGTTCGAGGCTGCGCTGAGCCACAGTCACGTGACTGCACCTGGGCGTTAGAGTGGAAGTGATGTGCTTCATGAAGCAGCTGTGAGAAGGACGCTTCTCATTCTGGTGCTGGAAACTCCCCACCATACCGTGTTGTCCTGCTGCGCTGTGCTGGTGAGGTGGGCTGGTGGCAGGTCATTTGCCCCCCTCCCAGGCTCTGCTTTCAGTCCTGGAGTGTGGCTCCTCTCCACTACTGCCCACATGGCCTCCTGTTCTCAGTCTGGGCCACATATCTGGGCTTCTCCATCCCTGTGGGCCTGGTGAGGCCTGGCCATATACCTGTGTCACGCCAATTGCTTTCAAGATGATGCCCCTCGTAGGACCACATGTCAGCACAGTGACCACCATGGCCAGGAGGAAGCTGGCTGCTCATCATCACCTTGCCTAGGGACCTCTCGCACCCTGGTGGGGACAGCAGACTTTGCTGTGGGAGAGCAGAAGGCAGCATGCTGGCTTCCAGGAGTGTCCACAGTGTGGCTGGGCAGAGCAGAGTTACAGATGAACAAATCTAGTGCTGA